CATGCTGCGTCAAGGGGGTGAGGCTGGAACCCAGTGGAAATTCCCCTACCTTGGCCGCCTAGCTCCTGAAGTGGGCCGGAAGTACCTGCCTGTGACAGCCAACCTCTGAGAGAAAAGGAAGGAAAAAACCAAGATCCATTACCCTTTGGGGGTTGAACGACCATGTCACAGGGGTCGCCAGATCCATAACAGTAGCAAAATGACAGTGATGAGGCACCAATAATGTTATGGTTGGGGTGGGGAGGTTCACCACCACATGAAGAACTGTATGAGAGGGTCGTGACCTTCGGAAGGTTGAGAACCACTGCATTACAGGGAGATGCAGCAGCCCATGAGGCTGCGGAAATAGACCCAGAAGCACTTGAAGACGAAGCTCGACAAGTACACAGAGGTTCTTAAGCCCCAAGGACTCCCGTTCTGAGCCCAATAAAAACAGTCCTTCTACAACAAGAAAGATTATTATCCATGATATTCTGTTGAAAAACCATGAGACTCAAGGTAGAGAATGACTAAGGAGAGACGATAAGGGGGCAGGAGACCCAGACGCTAGGAAGGAAGAGCCAGTAGGTGATGACTGGGGTGCTCACACACCGTGACGGGGCGAGAAAGGGGGAGCCGAGCACAATGATCTACATGTAACCCCTCCCATGGGGCTGACAACAGACAAGTGCGTGCATGGAGACATGGGTCAGTGTAAGACATGAAATAATAATAATAAATCATCAAAGGTTCATGAGAGAGAGAGGGGGAAAATGAGTTGCTGACTCAGTAGCAAGAAAATGTTTGGAAAAGGATGCTGGCAACATAGGTACCAATGTGCTTGACACATGGATGGATGGACGGATTGTGATAATGATTTAAAAGAAAGTGTTGAAAAGCAAGGTTGTTATATTGAGAACTAAGGTGCGTCTGACCCAAGACATGGTATTCTCCATTGCCTCCTAGGCGTGGGAAAGTTGGTCATTAGACCAGGAAACTGAAGCAGAGTGGGTGCGTTTGGATTGTGGTGCTGCAGAGGACTATGGAAAGGACCATGGACTGCTCCAAGGTCAAAGGGACCTGGCTCAGAAGGAGGTTGGCCAGAGTGCCCCTTTGAGGCAAGGCTAGCCAGACTGGCATACTTGGGACCTGCTGTCAGGAGAGCCCAGTCCTTGGAGAGGGACAGCTGCTTGGTGAAATGGAAGGACAGAGGGAAACAGGAAGCTCGTCACTGAGACGAGCTGACACGGGGCAGCAACCATGGGCGCAGGTCGGGAACAAGCATGAGGCTGCTACAGGACTGAGCAGGGTTTCCTCCTGTCGGACGTGTGGTTGCTGTGGGCTAGAACGGACTCAAGGACACGTAGGAGCAAGTTGGGTAGCAAGAGCAGAGCTCCAGGTCTCCTCCTCCTCAGGATGGCTGGGTGGAAGGAACGCACATCTTACCCCAAACCCTGACTTCTCCACACACTAAACTCTTAGTCCTATTCCAAGGCCCAGCAGCCAGGGCCTGATCTGTGTCATCAATCAACATCAGGAATCCTTGGGACAGAGGTCACAGGGAAGGTGGAGGAATCCACATTCCAGGGCCGCTTTTGAGGGTTCCGTGCTTGTGATTGGTTCAGGGTCGTGGCGCCATCGGCTCTGCCCCTGGATCATCATGTCTACCCTCAAGGACATGGATCCACACAGCACTACAACAGGGGATCAAGCACAGGAACAAGGGTGAGAATGACGCGGGACCAGGTAATGTTTCATTCTGTTGTGCACAGGTCGCTGTGGGTTGGAAATGACTCCGTGGAAGCAAACAAACATCCCTGAGAGCTCAGTTTCCCCTTGGACAGAACAACCAGGATTCCCACAACCTGAGCTCCCCCTACTGTGGCCTCAACAGGAGTTGGAGTGGCCTGGTGACTTGTGTGCCTCCCTCTCGGTTCTACACATGTAAACAAGCCAAGTCCATGACCACTCACGGCAACTCAGATGCATCAGAGTCTCTACTTGCATTTTCAAGGACTGATTTATCCAAAGTAGACCCCACGTCCATTGTCCCCAGGCACCCAGTGAATCCCAGGCGTCATCCTTTTTGCACATAGCTGAGTATGTCACCTTTACTGTCTCCCAGGACTCTCATCCTCAGGGAAGGAGCTCCCTAATCCAATCTGGCATGCTCTCCTCCTGACTGCATTCCCCAGTGGAAGATGTCCACACATGGCTCAGTTGGTGGATTCATTCATTCGGCAGTCAAATTTGCCGCCCTGCTCCAGGTCACGGCTTCCTCCCGGTATGTGTACTTCTCTCTCAGGCCCCTCCAGAGCCCATGCCAAAAGGACTTGCCCTCCTGAGCATGGAGAAGCTGTGACCCACGGAGCCTGACCAGCCAGGGCCTACGTGCCCGGCGTGGGCTGTGGGGAGTGAGGGGAAGTCCACAGACACATCGTTAGGGGCTGAGCTTGGGACCCTCCCCTGCTATCAGGACTCCGTCTAGAAAGGAGAAGA